AAAACACACCAGATGAGGTGTACGTCAAAAACGGAACAGAACGCAATATCCGTAATCCATATTCGGCGGCGGCCTTATCTCAGTGTCAAGGGCGAGGAGACAACCGTTGACAACCAATTGTCATATTAATAGCTGGACGGCTGATATCGAGAGAGACACGGGCGAGCACCAGCCTAGAGCAAAAGGCGGTGCCGTGTCACTAGACAGCAGGCACCACATCCTCATCTTCATCTTCGTACACATTACCGTTACATTTACACCTGTTTCCTTTCTTTAATTGTATTACGACAACTTTCACTTTAAAGGATACTAAAAAGTAGGTTCAAAATGATTACTTTTAACATATTAAAAATCAAAATCAATAATAATTTGAAAACAATTAATTTTAAAATTTATATAATATATAGGTAAAAAAATTACTAATTTGGGTATAATTAAGGAAATAGAAGTTGATATTGCTTTTGTAATTATCCATCAATTTTTTTTTTTTTTTTATTGATGATGTGAATTTCAAATTTGCAAGTTGAGCTAAAAGTTATGGTAATAAATTAATTTTTTTTTATTATAAACTTTCACTTAAAAGGACAAAAATAGGTTAAAAATGATTACTTTTAACATATTAAAAATTAAAATCAATAATAATTAGTTATAAAAATTATATAATATATAATTAAAAATATTTTGTTTTTGTAATTATCCACTAATTTCTTAGAATTAAACACTAACTACAGATTTGCATCGAATCGATTTTATGATAGTGATTTTAATCACTGTCAGATATCATTATACTTGACCCAACTATGCCGCGAATCACTGTGCTGGGCTTTTTTAAAAAGATTTTAAAAAATAATTTGGAGAAAAAAATTGTCATTAATGTTTGATAGTTAATTTTCTGTTACATTATAAATTTCATAAAAATTTGAATTTTTCTGTATTTATTCTACGGTATCAAACACTGGCTATGTTATATAAAAAAGGACAGAAGTAAACACCATCTTTTCACATTAAATATGATATAAGTATGGATTTTTCCAGTGTTGAGAAGGAACTAGTTCCAAAAGGAACGGATTCCTGGAATGAGTTCTTTTTGAAGGAACGATGCTAGGAACTGCTTCCTTTTAAAATAAAGGAACGAGGAAAATGAACAAATTCCATTTTTTAAGGAACGTGAACGGAAATTACAGTTCCTAAAATTTTTTATAAACATGTTTTAGTGTAGTTTTCTTCGTATCTAGACATTAAAATATTATGGTATTTTTAGTTGACTTTTGACAATGGAAGTCCCCTATATATCCAGCCGAGATCGTAGGCTGTTTAAATGAATCAATTGATTATAGATAGAGTTATTATCACATGTAGGTATACAGTAAATATTTAATATATGTGTACATATATTAAATAATGCACCGAATATTATCGTCGTTTCTTGTTAACTAATTTATGTTAAAGGTTTTGGGTTTTCTGATTTATTATTTCTAACTTATATGTAGACAATAGACATTGGTCGCGTTGACACAAGTCGTTAGCATTTACTACCTGGTTATAAATATAATTTTCGAATACTTTTAGATAAGGAATACTACAAATTTGTTTTGTATTCGACTGCTGATGAAAATCATTGATGACCGTTATCATGATCTCATTGCCACAATTTTTTAAATAACTTATAAAAGGAACGAAGAGTGGAACGAGTTCTTATTTTGGAAGAACTGGATCTGGAACAAGTTCCTTCTTAATATAAAGAATTAGGATCTGGAACGAGTTCATATTTTAGAAAATGAACGGGGAACGGAACGAATTCCATTTAAAAAGGAACTTTCCTAACACTGGATTTTTCTATGAACAAAAACTTAGATAGACATTTAAGAGAAATAGTCAAAAGACTCACACTGTTTAACTATATTGTAGTGTATGCGGTTCGATCATAAATCAATTAATAATTACTTTAAAAATCCTTCCTCACCAAAATAAAATCTATATATTATTTTTGTCATCTTTGTTATTCTACTATAAATAGTTAAATGCATTGTATCAATTTTCGTCTCGCTTGTAAAAAAACATGTTAATGTTATATATGTAAATGTCAAACTAATTTATGTTCTATTCATCTGTATTGATGTCTGTGTTTTTCATGCTTACTTATCAATAAACAATTATACTAAAAATTCGACAGTGACGATTTTTGGGGGTAAAAAAATATTATAAAAAGCCAGAGCAAACCCTTGCTCCGGGCTGTTCATTTCATGCTCCGTATTGGGCTGTTCTTTTAGTGGTCCGTATTTAGTTGTGCGAACGTCGTGATCGTCATTGTCGAAATTTTATGTGTTAATTTGTGAACTGAAAATCTGAACTTGTGTACTTTATTTATTATTTTCACCGATATCATCACTAAGGATAATTATAAAAACCAGAGAATTTACCAGGTAAGATTTTTTTATATCGTTATTTTATGACCCTCGAATTACACCCCGAATCAAAAGTAACTCTCACTTACACATTCTTTTTGCACCAACAATAATAATCATTCTGACCCCTTTATTTTAGTTTTTTATAATTTTATTTTTGTATTTTGTTTTGAGTTACGACAGACCACTGTTCGAATCGCCCGGGAGAGGCTGATAGCGCTCCTCACACCCTCTTCCGGTGCGAGACTCTTTGGAGTCACGACTAGGTTCCACGTTCCGAATCGAGTCTATGGTGGACTTGATGTTGGTTAGCCAGGAAGCGTGGTTGCTCGTCCAGGCGTTCGTTGAATCTGTCTTGAAAAAGAAGGAGGAAGCGGAACGCCTGAGACAGAGGCAGCCACGTCGCCCGGCACAGGAGAACCTCAGGCGCTGGTTTAGGCCGGTGCCTTAGGTTCTTATTTTTGTGTTATGTTTTTTGTCTTGTGAGTTATTTTGTCAACCCTCCCTAACTGCTCCCATTCTGAGATCCAGTTAACGGGAAGGGATCACACCAAGTTGCAAATCAGCTCTTGATTAATTTCGGGCTGATTCAGAACGTGGTGGTGTGAGTCATAGACGGCGTGGGCCACCCTGAAGTAATACCTTACGGCAGTACCAGGGCAGCCCACAATAATGCCGGTCACGTAAAAAAAAAAAAGGGGGTTATCATTCAGCATTCGACCAGGACTCTAACTGTAAAGATACACCCAAGGAAAACTTCGTGCAAAAAATTTCACAAGGTATTACGATCTCATCTAACCGAATCAAGAATGATAAAAGAGCAACAACTAACGGAGCACTGAAGAAGTACAATGTGCCACTAACGGCCATTGAACTAGAGTTTCTGACAAAAGTTGTGGTGGCTCTGCTTGATTCACTAACAATCGGATCTTATGTTTTACCGTGGGTAGCACACAAGTTTGGTAAATCAATAAACGGAGAACCAAGGATGATCACATTGGCTGACAGCCGAACTTTGCAAGTTCCTGAGCACACTGAGTTTACCGCACAAGTGTCTGACATTGAAGTACAATTCAGAGCCGTGGTACTCGACCATCTTATTAGTGATGTTGTACTAGGTCATAACTTCTTAGTGAAACAAAAAGTGGCTTGGGACTACCAAACTTATGCAATCTACATGAGAGCAACGGTATGCTGGAGAAAACCGACAGTCAAACGAGAAACCGAAGCGAAAATGGTTATCCCGGAAGGAGAGCTTTCGGAAGATTTCCGGTCAGTATTACTCAAGTACTCGGAGGTTTTCACCGGAGAAGTCAAAAGGACCCGAATTATTGAACATGACATCTGATTAAAAGAGAAAAGTCACACTACTTTCAATGCATATCCCTATAATCACAAAAAACAGGATACCATTACACGTATGGTGCAAGAAATGGGGGAGCAAGGTTTTGTAGAACCAAGTACCTTACTATGGGCAGTTCCCTAATTCTCGCCAAGAGAAAGATGGATCCAACGATTATGCGTAGATTACCGGAGATTGAATCTCCAAACAGAATCCGATGCACATCAAATGCCCAACTTGTACGAAATGGTCCATGAAATGGGTGGTACTAACGTCTTCGGAACGATCGACCTAAAGTCGGGCTATTGGCAGGTAAGTTTGACCCAGGAGTCAAGACCGCTCACCATATTCGGCGTACAGATGGGCATCTAACAATTTGAGTAATGCCTTTCGGATTTAAAAACGCATCAGCTACAACGGTTGGTAAACGATGTTATGCGTGGATACGTTGATAAATTCATGTTTGTGTGCCTAGACGATATCGTGGTGTACTCAGTAAGTATGGAGGAGCATATTAACCACGTATAATGAATCTTGGGATTGTTACAAATACATGAGTTGACATGTCAATCGATAAAATACAGTTTCGGAGTAATTCGAATAAATTTCCTCGGATACATAATGGGTTCGACGGATTTTAACCAGGAACCAAAAAATTAACTACAATAATCGAATTTCCTATACTGAGGAAAGTCAAAGATTTACAGAAGTTTCTTGGAGTATGCGGTTGGTACAGTCAGTTCGTACCCAATTACACCGAAGTTACCGCTCCGCTAACTGATCTTTTGGCTCATGGGATTAAATGGCGTTAGACAGTACAAAAGTAAGAGGTGTTCCAGAAGCTAAAGGAAGTTCTTGTCTCTGCACCCTGACTGTCTACCACTTTAAGAACAACTGTTTTATATTCAAATGGACGCAAGTGAGATAGTAGTCGGTGCTGTCCTATTTCAGCGGAAAGAAACTTTTTTTCTTATTTTCTTTTCACGACAGGCTTAGTTGTAGGCTGCCCTGGAACTACCGTTAGGTATTACTTCAGGGCGGCCCACGCCGTCTTTAAAACTCACACCACCACGTTTTGAATCAGCCCGAAATTAATCAAGGCTGATTCACAACGTGGTGTGGCCTCCCTTGTTCAGTGCGAGGGGGGCAAAAATAACTCACAACACATAACATTAAACACAAAATACCTAAGTCCTCCTGTACCGGGCGGCGCGGCTGCTTTTGTCTCAGGCGTTCAGTTTCCTCCTTCTTTTTCAAGATGGATTCGGCAAACGCCTGGACGAGCCTCCCGGCTCCTCAACATCAGGCCCACCAGGTACCTTCGCCTTGAGAACCGCTGTCGCTCTCTCCACCCTTTTGGGTCCCCTCCGCTTTACCACCTCTGTCCACAAGGTGGCAGGAGTAGGGGCTTGAGAGATGTCAGGAGGAGCTGGGCAAGGAGTAGGAGGGGGTGCACCACTGGATGGCAAAGGCGCTGTGGTGTCTGCGGGTGGACCCGTATCCTTCTTTGCCGTCCCTTCCTTCTTCTTCTTCCCCTTCTTATTCCGCTTCTTGACGGCAGGAACAGGCGGGAGCGTGGCCGCTGCTGCGTCACTCCTACGGAGGGGAAGGGACGTGTTCCCGACGGCCAAAGATGGCGAGCCATAAGTGTCCCACCAGTAGTCCGTCTGGGACGACACATCGACTTTGGTCACCGGGGCACCAGGATCAGTTGTCGGTGACTCCCGCTTCGGCGTGCGAGTCAGATGAAGTTCAGCGAGGACCCTAACACTGTCTATGAGGGCCCTTGCCATTTTGACCACACGGCGGTGCGGGGAGTACACCTCTAATACGTCCTCGAGTTGCCCCGCTAGTTCTCCGAGGATGGCCAACCCAGCCGACAGCACCTCGTCTGACCGGCCAACCACCCTATTTGGTGACCCGTCGGCGCTAAACAAGTCCAGTGCTGTCAGGGTCACCAACCTGGGCTTCTTGGCCAGTACCGGCGAAGGCGTCTCCGGCATGGGGATGGCCACGCTAGGCGGGGTGTCCTCAAGCGTAATGGTGGTGGGTTCGAGGGGCGGAGAGATCCCCTTCCTTTTTCCGAAGGACCCATCCTTGTAGAACCACCCCTAGATGCGCTCCGCAATCTCTCCAATATGGAGGGTTTTGGAGACGCATCCAGGGAGGTGGCCGACGTCAATTCCGTTCGAATATCCAAGCTGTCCATTGCCAATATCTTCCCGGCTATTTCACCGGTGGGAGTGGCTTGGTCATTACTACTCCCTGCAGTCGCAGTACCAACCCCGTGGTTGGCTGCAGGAGCCTGCCTCAACACTCCTGCATTTGACGTGTATTCGTTTGATAACGACACCTGGTGGGTACACCCCCCACCAACCGCCGGCACTGGGGCATCCGATACCCCTGATGCAGTAACCGTTGTCTCTTTACTTTCCATTATTCATAAAAATAATTTAGTGAGGGGGCTGCCCTTATAGCCGGTCCCTTGGGCCAGTGAGTGGCCAACTCACAGGTTGCGTAAACCAAGTCGCTCCGTTCTCACCCAAACGCTACCGCTTATTCGTCCATAAAGGCTTAGTTCACGGCTATCCTGCATATCTACAGGATTAACAAGCGTCTGGGCGGCTCGCTGTCCACGACCGCTTATTCGTCAGTCCAAATTAATGGACTGCCTATTTCGCGGCTAATCTGCATATCTGCAGGCCGTTCCTCTATCCGCAACCTGAGGACGCGCCCGATTCCCCGAGCTAGGGAAACTGCGCTCGTGCCGACGTTTCGTAGCCCCGTAGAGCCCGATCACGCCGACACTGTAGCGCAGCGAAACGGGNCTGTAGCGCAACGAAACGGGGCGGGAAGAAACCAGGCAGAGATAATTATCTCATATGCCAGCTGAAAACTTTCTCCCGCTCAGACACGGTATTCAGCCGTAAAACATGAGTGTCCACACACACGGGACACCAACAATAAGTTGACGCGCCGTGTGTTACAGGTGGGGGCGTTCGACTTTGATATTCAGTACGTGCCTGGAGTTGAAAATCAAGCAGCGGACGCCCTATCAAGAAGTCCTGTGGAGAAAACTCCGTTAGATGAAAATCAGTTATAAGAAAACTACTATGATCCATCGTTGACCAGAGATTTATCCCAACGGAGTCAACTAGGGACAATAAAAAAGGATGCTTACCCGGAGAATATAGCTATTTCCGACATTAGAAACTAACAAGCCTTTAGTCAAGTATGTCCGGAAACTCCGGATTGACAATACAATTTACCGGCGCTTACACCAAGAATACCACTTGCAAGATGGTATTTTGCTTAAATGACCGGTAAATAGCGGAACTGATATAAAGATTATCATCGTTCTGTCGGAATTGTCAGATTATCTGCTATGGAGGTATCACGACCATGGTTCTGCCGGACATCCAGGGTGGAAAGAAACTTATCGGAGCAACTTCTGGACCGGTATGAGGGAGTTGGTATGTCAATATGTTGCCAGATGCCACGTTTGTGGCTGTGTCAAACCACTGAGTCGGAAACAAGACGACCAAATGTGAACAAAACAGCTCCGCCAGCCATGTTAGGTTGTTAGTATTGATGTAATGGGGCCGTACCCAAGATCCTAACGAAGTAAGACTTGCCTACTTGTAGCGACCGACTGTTACAGTAGATAGGTGGAAGTATACTCCTCGGGCCAGCCATCGCTAAGACGATCACCAATAATCTAAAAAGAGGGTTCTTCTCTCATTTCGCCTAGGCTTAAGTACTTTTCTCTGACAATGGAACACAGTATGTCTCCAAAACAACGGAAAAATCACTGAAAAAGTGGGACACAGGAGGATGGACAATGCCAATTTACAATCCAAAAATAAACCCAGTAAAACACCGAAACTAAGATTTGAAAAAAGGTCTTCGTACAGCTTTGGTTGACAAACCACATAGTCAATGGGACAGCTGTATTCCAAATATACTTTTTTCAATAAGAAATCGTCGAAACATGCTAACAGGGAGCATTCCATCTGAACAGGTCTTTGGACGAGAAGCCAAAGCCGCCAGCGATTGACTGCTGGACATTATTTCTACGGGTAAACAACCGGATTAACGGAATAACAACCCGAAACAAGTAGAAATAACCGGACAGAAAAAGGATTAAACCGAATCGTTACCGAAAAAACGACAATTTTCCCTTGAAAAACCCGAAGAATGACTATAACTCCGATGTGATAACTGAAAAATGCAGTGTCTTCGGTAAGAAAATTAAAATTTCTGTGGCCGGGAGGACAACCCTCACAAAATTTCGGGTCATCTTTCGACAAAAATGACGCTAGTCATAATTCGTCCCATGAAAATCACTGCAAACGCTTTGAGGAAAGGAATTTGGTGTATTACCGCGCACACCCCTTATCCAGCCCCATCTTTGCCCCTAAGTGGCTGGGCCCCATGCAACTAGCGAAAAGATTAGGTGAGGGAGTGTTTGTGACTAAAGGAAAGCGTTACTGCAATGAAACATGACACTACAGAAAGTACTCCTGACAATTGTTGCTTATTACAGGTGACCGACAAACTAACAGCAAGGGGAAGCCCATGCGTTCCGTACATCACGCCAACTGACAGCCGAAAGAGCAGCGCTGATGCGTCAGCAGGATCGCAGACAAATGCATCAGGCAGCTGTTCTTACAAGAGAGTCTTTCGGTGGTATGTACCGAAAGACACAATGCACAGGTATGCCAGAGAACTGTACCGTGGATCGGGTGCGACAAGCCGAAATGTGGGAGCTGCGGAGCCATTCACTCCTCTGGGCGCCTTCTACCGAGACCAGACGGATCAAGGACAACGTACCGAAACCGGACACAACCGAAGACAGAGAGACGGTTCTGCACGACCACCTGCACACAGGCCCCCTCCCGTTCGTCAACCAAAGCAACAGGTAAAGGAACAGACCTATCAAAACCACCGTCACAGCGTGCGGATCGTAAAAGAGCGTTTCAGACCAAGAGTTCCACCAAGGTCGGAACCATCAACGATTCCACCAGCCCTGGCAACCCAAGTCAGAGAGAAACCAAAAGAAGGGAGTGAGACTTATCCCAACGGGACCGGTGTCCAACAACCAAGTCTTCCGGTGGTGTTTGTTGGTGAAGACTGAGGGTATCCATCACCGATGTGCATGGACTTCATGCAGCCGGATGAAATAGAGGTGATGCTAGAAGACTTATTATTGAATACCAAAAATTTGAGGCTCCGGACTTCCCGAGTTGGAGGAAAAACAAACAGACCAGTCATCTTAGGCTGATAAATTAGCTGACCGGCTTCCATCAAGTGAATCATGAATAAAGCCACTAAAATGGAGGAGTGTCTATTGGTGGAATTAAAATCTATAACTTATGATATAGCGATGATACGGTTAGCTAGCACGAAAAGTAAAATAGCTATTTTACTTGAAAAAATAAAGAAATCTAGTGCTCAATATTAATAATTGATAGAGTAGAAACACTACCCTTTTACTTCGAATTAACCCCTGACATAGAACGTAATGAAAATGTAATTTACTAAGGAGCACGAATATCAAGGAAGGAGATTTGAGAAGAAAATAACTTGTTTTATTCAACGACCCGTCTATCGCCAATTGTCATCATAGCCAACCAACTCCGTCTCACTTGGATATACCTACTAACCAACTGTACTAGGATTCAGGTCAGACGTATTGTACATTACATATAACTTATATTTACTAAACATCTAAATATAACTTTACTTTGTCGTTGACATAAAACAATAGTCTAATTTTATTTAATAATCTATCCCCTGTAACTAAGGTACACGATTGTCTGTGTCTCCTTCAGGCAATTAAAACTCATTTAAGGAGATAGGGACGATATTTGGGCAGACGTCGGGTAGCTTCCGATTCTTGGTTTTGACCAAGATCCTCAACTATTAAACAAGCCCCTAACAATATTATAAGACGAAATGGTCTGGAAAAAATAATTATATTAGGAAGTGTACAAAGCAAAATAAAAGAGGATGTCCTCCTACTCGATTTATTGACCAAATCAAAGATTTAACAGATATCATAATCATGCGAAGTATAGAAGACTAAAATGGTTGGAGCAATATTAGTAACCATTAATTATATACTTGTTTAAACGGTCACGACGTTCGAAATCAAATTATCGACGAAGAAAGAAAATTACATATTATACGTTAAACTATCGAAAGGAATACAATGGCAAAATAATAATCTTCCCAAAGTTATCATTTAATACGGGCTCAGGAGACCCTCTTTAAGTTTGAGATATTTTTTTCTCGCTAATCCACTAAGGAAATCGTCTCAGTGGTCATTAAGTAAAATCAGCTCCGGGATTTCCAAGGTTCCCAGATCTATGATGTCCCCCAAAGGAAATCGATTAGATCTCGCCAAAAATAAAAGTCATTTAATAGAGGATTATCTTGAAACAAAAGCAACACACGAAAAAATGTTCTACATGATAACTATTTTTTTATTTTATCTCACTATATAGATAGTGAGATGTCCGACGACGGACTAATCACCCATCTCGGAATTTAAATGGTTAAGAAATCTCTTTCTTTGGGGAGGCCGCTATGGCCTTTAATGGGCTGATAAAAGCGAATAAAAAAAATATATATAAATAGTAAATATTTAAATAAAAATATGTATATATATAAAAAGAAAGTTTGTTGACTATCGATAATGTTGGAGTTTTTACCACGTTTTACATTTTATTAAATGTCAGAATAAAATCCGTCGTTGTTATGGTAACCTATGGTACAGGTGGAACAATTACTACATTGTCAAATGTTGACGTATGTAAATGTAGAAGCATTATCAGTTTGCGGCAAAGGTGTTTGCCGATAAAAACATCAGGAATGTGGCATAGTAATTTTGCTGATAAGTGATAACAATATGCAACGGTTAAGGAGGCAAGTTTTTTATTACTAGATTTATTTTTATAAATATTTTATTATATTTCATACAATATGTAATTTTATTTAGAACTTAATATCGTTCTCCTAACTTATTATAAACTTCATTTAATTAATAAACACTATAATTTTATAGCATTTAAAATTTTACCAATGATTCGAGTCAAAGAGAAAATACGGTACGATATTAATGTTCACCGTGAACAAAATAAATTAATTCTTTTAAATACAAGACGTGGAATCACAGTCAATGAAAATGACGAAGATGATACATTTTCTTTAAGAGATGTACGATTAATTGCATTAAAAATAAAAAGTAGGAAATGTGTCACTAAAAATCTCTTAAAATTATTAAAACATGCATTACTTAATGGTCAAGATTATATTTTGGAATTTTTCCGCTGCCAAGGAGCTACTGATTCTTTACTTCATTATACATCTAGTAAGTGTAAAGTATACATTAAACATTTTTCATGTTAAATTACATGTCAAGAGTACTACTTGGGCATACTTATAAAAGTGTTATTAAAGATTCTCTTACAACAAAAGTACATTATTCTCTTCAAAAACCAAACTTTAAGTATGCCTTTAGTTAATAGTGTATTTAAGATTTTAGCTTAGAAGGTATTTTATTAAAAAAATTATTTTTTAACTTTTATATGATATTAACCAGGGAATCCCCCTTGTAAAATTATCTCTGTTCTTACTCTACTGTACCATTGAACCAAGACAAATTTGAAATTGATTATAGTGTGTGGATGTGGATAATTTAAATACAAGAAGTAGAGTTTGAACATGGCCATATTCAAAATCAAAATACTTTTTTTTAGTTATTCAAAATTTTTAAGAATTTGAAAGAATCATAAAAAAAGAGAATTAAACAAATTCATACCAATTTATATCTAAGTGTTTTAACCAAATATTGTTTATAAATTTTAAAATAACTCCTCATATAGATTATAATAGTGTATTAAACAGATATTAAAGTTTTTAATACATACAAAACAATTTTTTTAGGTAAAGATGATGATATAAAGTTAGCTGCTATTGAATGTTTTTGCAATATGGCATTGGGTGATCAAAAAACATGCATAAAGTTAGCTAAATTAATAACACCTTATTTGATGATTCACATTAATAGCTTGAATTTTAATGTATCTGTAAGTGTAAAGTTAAAATTAAATTTTCTTTCTATAACTTGTATTGTACTTATGATTTGTTAAATTTTCTACATGGAATTCTTTATTTTGTAATTTTTTTTTTAATCAGGGTTGGCAAAAAAAACCGATCAGACTTTTCTAATCTGTTTCCAGAATTTGTTAAAAAACTCAAAATAACCTTGATATTTTTTTGTAAGTTTTCTTTATGTAAAAAAAAAAAATCTTGAGAAAGCATTGTTTTCATTTAAAATACTAACTTATGCTCAATGCTTTTTATTGAATTAAATATATAAAAAAGTATAAAAACTAAAAAATTATATTATTTATGCATTGATGCAAAAGCTCTAAAACTATTGCCTTTACCATAATAATTTTTTTTTGTTCTGTTCGTATAAAAAATCTTTATTAATACCACAATAATTAATTTTTATTGAAGTCAGGTTTTTTTATAAAAATTTGATGAAACTGCTTGGGCAATAGATTGGGTTGGGCAACCCTGGTTTTAGTAATACATAATATTTATAAGTAGGGTGATTTTTTATCATAATCCACTCAAATGAGTGGATTATGATAAAAAATTATCTTGTGTATATATAAACTAAGTGTAAAACACATTCACCAAACAATAATATAAATATAAAAAAATTATAAAAATTACAGTTAATGTTAATATATATATTCAAAATGTAATTAACTTTAAATAATTACTTAAAATTTTATTTAAATTAAATTAAATCAAACAGCAATAATTATTAACAATAATAATTATAATTATTTAAAACACTGATGAAATTCAATTAGAGGGGTTATTATAGCCACATGACATACAATGAACAGAAGTAAAAAATGTGAGACAAAACGAGATATATATTGAGGAACATGAATGTTAATTTTTTGTAATAACCCAGGTCATTAGTTGACAATTTTAAAATGTAATAATAAAAGAAATATACAAATTTTTAGACCTAAATACAAGTTTGCATACTTACAGATTATCTTATATTTTAATTATTGGTAAATCCAGACAATAATCATTGGTGTTATAGCATTATCTTTTAAACCCTATATAACATATAAATCATCTTTGAAACATTCAAATGATTCAATGTGACCAATCTAAGAAGGAATCCATACGACATAACTATATTTGAAAATAAGTCTCACAATTATGCTGTATAGAATTTTCAGGCAGAATCCTTATTGAACTCTTTAGTATTTTCAATTAGAAAGACGAAGTTTTTTTAAAGACATTGAACATGTTTGTTCTATATCCTAAAACTTTCATTGATCATTTCTCTCAAATAATATGAAGGATATTAATGTTACTGGAGATCAATTGATGTATAATTTCATTATTTATAATAGTACGTAAATTTTGAAAAATGTGTTGCTTTCAACAAATTACTTTCTAACCATTGTTATAGTAAAAATATACTTTTATTATGAAAACTATTATTTTATAATATATGATAAAATAAATAAATACAATTTTAAAAAAACATAATTGATACTAATTCTTTTTTTTTTAAGTCCATGTCCATATGGACTTTGGGTAACTTAAGTGGTTCTAGTGAAAAAGTTTGTGAAGTATTAGAAAATCAAAATGTCTTTATAGCATTAGTTAATTGTTTAAGAATATCAACATGTGATGAAGTCATCAAAAACACATTTTATGCTTTGAAACTCATGCTTAAAAATTTTATATCACATTTAAAGTATGAAAAGTTAACTTTTTTAATTTTACCAATATCAATTTGTTGATTTGTTTTTATTTTCAGAATTGAACCACTAGTAGAATTGTTACATTTATGCGTTAAACTCTCAGATACATGGAAGGAATCATTTTGGATCATATATCAAATAAGCTGTCTTGAAAATTCAAAATTATTTTATGAAGACCTAATGAAACATTTATTTAACTTAATACACTCAGATATATGCACTGATATAGTTTGTTTAGTTCCCATTTTAAGAACATTAGGAAATATAGTTCAGGCCTTAAGTAGTGATTTAAGAAAAAATTTTCTAGTTGAATTAAAAAGTAAAGGACCTAGCATACAAAATATTTTATTAAAAAACAAACAAATTGATTTAAGTAAAGAATGTGCTTGGCTATTGGGCAATGTGTTGAATTCATTAAATGTGAACAGTATTAATAATGTTATAATATTTGATTTTGAAGAAATTTGTAGTTATTTATTTGTGTAGTGAACACAATCTTACATTTAATGTAATATATGTAGTGTATTTTTTTTAATTTATAAGAAAGAAATATTGATTTTTTATAAAAATAAAAATAAATGTATAGTTTTATCTATAAATTAATTCTAATATGATTTTAATTAAGAGAGCATAAAATAATTTAAATTTTTTTGATCCATTACACTAAATTTTAGAATATGACATTCATAAAATTAAATAAATAATCTACACAATGTAGATTGTAACAACATTTGTTACAATTTACAAAGGTAGTATCAAAAAGGCTTTTATAAAGAAGAGAGATAAATAAATTTTTCTTAATTTTAAAGCTATTAATTTTCTTTATCTGTTACAACTTTTTCTCAACTCTCACTGAACAGATTTCTTTCAACGATAAGTCAAAAGATCACAAATTGTATCTATCGTATCAAAAATTGAATAAATTTCCCTCGTTCCCCGTAAATGGGGGAAAACTCCAAAAAAATTACAAATTAAAATATTGCTAAATTTCGAATTTTTTTTTTTTTACTTAAAACTACCATAAATTTTTCAAAAATGAACAAATCAATATAATTTTTTTTTATAGATGCTTGATGTCTTTATTATTTGGTATATTTTTTTTATAAATCTGACCCTTTACCACAGTGAGTTATTTAAAATTACAACTTTTTCACAAAACATTAACTTTTGAAATTGTTCCGGAAAGTCTGACACTTTTATATGTATCTTAAATTAAAGCTAATGTAATATATTTTATTATTGAAAAAAAATTTCAAACTTTATTGTGTTTTCATGGTGAAAATGGCTACTGTATTCAAAAATTTGCTATTTTTGTGATAAAATTCTTGATTTTGTATTTTATTTTATTTTAAAATACCTTATAAGGAAAGTACACTGATTTTAATAAATATTATGTAAATATAATTGATATAGTATATAAAGTTAAACTTATTAAAAGTTTTTTGCTTCTTTTAAGTTGAGAAAAATGACTTTAAAATTTGAATTAGCTTAAATTGCCATTTTTTTCAAGTGGAAAAAATTTCAAAATTCGTTTGATTTTTTTAACTTATAATACGTATTATCATGAGCTTAAATCTAACATATGATTAAAGTATGTAGTATTTCCGAAATATTTTCAAAAGTTAACTTTTTATGTATAACTCACCTACTTGAATTTCATTGTGGGCAGGTAAGGGGTCATTTTTTAAAAAAAATGTATACCAAATAAAAGGGAAATACCTAAGGTATTATTGTTTCAATGTAATGTATTTACTGTCCACCTTCTGAGAAATTTGAAAACCAATATAGTATCAAATTATTGTTTTCTACTATACTAAATATCAGTGTTGGGAAAGTTCCTTTTTAAATGGAATTCGTTCCGTTCCCCGTTCATTTTCTAAAATATGAACTCGTTCCAGATCCTAATTCTTTATATTAAGAAGGAACTTGTTCCAGATCCAGTTCCTCCAAAATAAGAACTCGTTCCACTCTTCGTTCCTTTTATAAGTTATTTAAAAAATTGTGGCAATGAAATCATGATAACGGTCATCAATGATTTTCATCAGCAGTCGAATACAAAACAAATTTGTAGTATTCCTTATCTAAAAGTATTCGAAAATTATATTTATAAGCAGGTAGTAAATGCTAACGACTTGTGTCAACGCGACCAATGTCTATTGTCTACATATAAGTTAGAAATAATAAATCAGAAAACCCAAAACCTTTAACATAAATTAGTTAACAAGAAACGACGATAATATTCGGTGCATTATTTAATATATGTACACATATATTAAATATTTACTGTATACCTACATGTGATAATAACTCTATCTATAATCAATTGATTCATTTAAACAGCCTACGATCTCGGCTGGGTATATAGGGGACTTCCATTGTCAAAAGTCAACTAAAAATACCATAATATTTTAATGTCTAGATACGAAGAAAACTACACTAAAACATGTTTATAAAAAATTTTAGGAACTGTAATTTCCGTTCACGTTCCTTAAAAAATGGAATTTGTTCATTTTCCTCGTTCCTTTATTTTAAAAGGAAGCAGTTCCTAGCATCGTTCCTTCAAAAAGAACTCGTTCCAGGAATCCGTTCCTTTTGGAACTAGTTCCTTCTCAACACTGCTAAATATACACTTAAGATAAATATTAGATTACACGGAGTAAGGACTAGAAAAATAACGAACACCGTAAAATACAGATTTAACGTAATTTTAATACTGTACTACATAATTATTTTAGTTATTTATTTACGCCTGAAGGCAAGAGTGTACAAAAAATTCAATATATAATTAACTTAGGATTACGTTTAAGTAATATAAAATAGATTTTTAAACATAATGACAGAGTTTCGCTACTAAATATAGAGGTAATGCATTATAAAAAAAAAAAGGTAGCACAGTGGGATCGAGGCACAGTGTGGACGAGGCATAGATGGGACAAGTATAGATGATATCTGACAGTGATTAAAATCACTATCATAAGAAACGCTTCGATGCAAATCTATAGATAGTGTTTCATTTAGAGAAATTGGTGGATTATTCCAAAAGCAACATCAATTCTTATTTCTTTAATTATATCCTGATTAGTAGTTCTTTGATTTAAAAATATAATATATGAATAAATACTAATTATAGTTTTTAAATTCAGTATGAAATTGTGAGGCCAGCTATGATGTATGGTTAATAGTGTTGGGCGGTTGATAAGAAAGTAGAGCAGAGAATAAGTGTAGCAGAGATGAGAATGCTTAGATGGATAAGTGGAGTGACTAGAGAAGATATGATAAGAAACGAGCATATAAGAGGAAGTAAAGGTGTTGCGTCAATCGTGGATAAGATGACAGAAAATAGACTTAGATTGTTTAGTCATGGTATGAGGAGAGAAGAATGGGAAGCTGTAAGAACAGTTAAAGAAATGAATTTTGAAGGAAGAAGAGATAGAGGAAGACCAAAAAAGAGATGGAGGGATGCTATTGAATGCGATTTGAGGACAGCTGATGTGAGCGTAGAAGATGTGGGAGATCGTGTCAAGTGGAAGCTTAGGATAAGGGTGGCTGATCCCAAATAGTTGGGATTAAGGCAAACAAAAAGAAAATTCCGGTGGCAATTGACATAATATGATAGTTGTTTGGGAATGTACAATTTAGCGTTTAGTTGGTTTTAAACAGTATAGCGTCAAATCAATTACCTACTCTATCGGTTGTATATTAATATACACTACACTATATGATACAATAAATAAATAAACTCACACATACACACATATGCATTTATAACATTGT